AGGGACTGTTTTCCATAAGAAGTTAAGAGGAGAGATATTATCCCAGATAAAGGGACAAAATAATAAGTATCCTCTTCACATAGAAAAAGTCCAGTTAGGGTCCATAGCTCAGGGCTGGAAAGGAAGGTTGGTCTGCATTTGGAAACACTTCCCCAGAGAGGTAAAATCTGCTGTTCACTCAAGTGGGACTACTAGAGGATGGGCAGATTTGGGGAGAAAAATAATGGGTTCAGATGGTCCACGGCTGGGGTGCAGCTGTCTCATAAATGTGGGAAACTTGGTAGTTTGGTGGTTTTCTACACAGGCTGAGCTTCCCCCCGAATCAGAAGTCTGGTGCTGTTGGTGCTTTCCCCCTCACAGCTCCTGGCTGTTCTGTTACTGACCCCACCGCTGACAATGGCATACATTTGAGCGTTTGTATTGTGTATGAGGCATTGTCGGGGGGCCTTTATATATGTCCATGTCATGTAATTTAATAATTACAGCAACTCAATGAAGTGTATGATATGGAGGAAGAAAACTGAGGTAAGGCAGGATAAGAAATTTGGTCCAAAAGTCAGGGCCAGGCATGGTGGCTCACGCCTGTAATCCCAGCACTTGGGAGGTGGAGGTGGAAGGATTGGTTGAGATAGAAGTTTGACACTAGCCTGGGCAACATAGTGAGAGCCTGTCTTTACAAAAAATAAGAAAAATTAGCTGGTTTTGGTGGTGTACCTCATAGTCCCAGCTGCTCTGGTGAGACGATCACTTAAGCCCAGGAATTCAGGCTTCGCTGTGAGCTATGGTCAGCTGCTGCACTCCATCCCGGGCAGCAACAGAGTGAGAGTCTGTCTATTTAAAACAAACAAACAAAAAAAAGAAGTCAAGTTCTTCTTAGTACCTTACCCTGTCTCTCTTTTTTTCCGAGTCTCAGTCTGTTGCCCCAGGCTAGAGTGCCTTGCAACAGCCTAGCTCACAGCAACCTCAAACTCCAGGGCTTATGCAGTCCTCTTGCCTAGGCTTCCAAGTATTTGGGACTATAGTCACCTGCCACAAAGCCTGGCTAATTTTTCCATTTTTAGTAGAGACTGTTTGTCTTGCTCAGGCTGCTCTTGAATTCCTGAGCTCAAGGGATCCTCCCACCTCAGCCTCCTGGAGTATGAGGATTAGAGGCATAAACCACCCGCCTGGCCAGCAGTGCCTCTTTTAGATAACATTACAACTAATACTAATAGTACTATTAATAATAGATAGCAGGTATTAAGTTAGGTACTGTATTAAGCACTTTATTTTTTACGGCATAGGATCTTGTTCTATTGCTGGGGTGGTTGACAGTGATCATTGTTTGACACAGCCTTGAACTCCTGGGCTCCAGTAGTCCTCCACCTCAGCCTCACGGGCAGCTGGGACTACTGACACACACCACCATGCTGAATTAATCTTTAAAATTTTGTAGAGACTGAGTCTCACTGTGTTGTCTAGGCTGGTCCAAACTCCTGGCTTCAGGCAATCTTTCCCTTTCAGACTCTCAAAGTGTTAGGAGTACAGGTGTGAGTTACCCTGTCTGGCCTATATTAAACATTTTAAATGAAATATTTAATATGTACAAGTATTATCTTGAATTTATAATTTGGAAAACTGAAGCTCAAGGTCACAGAAGTAGTAAATGAGGAAGCCAGCACTTTAATCAAGTTTTCTTGGTGCCGGTGACCAAATCTATAAGCACTGTATATTTTTTATTGGCTCTACTGCCATAAATATAGCTTCTCTGATAGAGTTTCAAGTCGGCCATTGCTACCATACTTTCCTGTTAGTAGTTTCCTACCTGGGAAAAGGATAAATCATGTAGCAGTATCTCCTCCCACAATCTTTAATGCTTTATTTTTCTTGATCTTAAGGTTGGGGAGAAAGGAAAAGCAATTCACTTCACAACATGCATGGGATCTCTTCAAAGACATAATTAAGGCTGGGCGCCCATAGTTCAGGGGTTAGGGCACCAGCCACATGCTCCGGGGCTGGTGGGTTTGAACCCAGCCCAGGCCTGTTAAACAACAACAAAATAATAGCCAGGTGTGGCAGTGGGCGCTTATAGTCCCAGCTACTTGGGAGGCTGAGGCAAGAGAATTGCTTGAGTCCAAGATTTTGAGGTTGCTGTGAACTGTGATGCCACAGTGCTCTATGGAGGGTGACAGAGTGAGACTCTGTCTCAATAAAACAACAACAACATAAACAAAGACATAATTAAAACTGTCCTGGTGGTAATAAACCATAATGCCAAACAAATGGATGACTGGTCAATGTAGTATGGGTTAAAATTTTTATTTGCTAATGGATGGTATTCTTTTTTTCATAGAAGTTTCCTGATCTATTAAAGTATAAAGATCCGTGTTGCCTTTACTCTTGGAGAGTTTTACTATGAATGAAGATCCATGGCCTTTACTCTTGGAGAGTTTTACTATCCTATGTTTTGGATAAGGTTTCTCAATAAGATAACAGCAGCATAATAAGGCTCCAGGTCAGCTAGCACTTAGCATTGCCTATTTTAGTAAACTTACATTTGGTTAAGTCCTGCTAATGAACAGTGTTATGATCAGGGAGATGATATAGTTTATTTATTAGGTTAATCCCTGATGTCTCTATATTAATACAGAACCCTGCGTTGCCATAGCTTGCTTTGGTCTGCTGGTTCCTGGATATGGTATCCGGCTGTTTGGCAGGTTCTTCTCCATAACCCATGGAAATCCCAACTGTGGTTCCCAGCTATGGGTTGCCTACTGGGTTGACCATTTTAAAAAGTGGAAGGTGGAATTTTCCTTTTTGTTTTTATTGAGAAGAGTGAAAATGCCATGAAGAGTTAAAATTACTGGCTTGGTGCCCATAGCTCAGGGGTTAGGGTGCCAGCCACATACACTGGACCTGCTAAACAACAATGACAACAACAACAACAACAACAAAAATAGCTGGGCGTTATGGTGGGAGCCTGTAGACCCAGCTACTTGGGAGGCTGAGGCAAAAGAATCGCTTAGGCCCAAGAGTTTGAGGTTGCTGTGAGCTGTGATGCTATGGCACTCTACCGAGGGTGATGTAGTGAGACTCTATTTCAAAAAAAAAAAGTTAAGATTACTGTGTGTGCACTCAGCTAGTATTCACTGTCTGTGTTAATCTGAACAACCCTGGCTGCATGCTCACTTCTTCATATGGAAATTGTTCCAGATGAAGGTGATTACAAGAAAATGCTTGGCATTAAAAGTTTTCACATTACACTATTTGATGGTCATTCATTAATTCTTCATTTACTCTTCTTATTCATTAAGTATCAAACATATCTTTATTCTGGAGATGAATAAGACGTGTCCTTCGCGGTGGTGCTATTTCCTGAAGGTACTGCCAGGGCCAAGTGCCTGTGTGGCATGAGCTCTCCATCTGAGTGGGGTTATAGGTGGAGTTTATGATCTAATAGAGCTGTTAGGACTTCAATTTGCCTTCTTAATAGATGTAGTGATCATGGCTTACAATTTCCAGAGATCCAGGCTCTCAGATCTTAGAATTGTTGTAATAAAATTGTGTATTTTTTTTTTTTTTTAAAGACAGAGTCTTGCTCTGTCCCCTGGTCTAAAGTGCCATGGCCTCTCAGCCTAGCTCCTAGCAACCTTGAACTCCTGGGCTTAAGGGATCCTCCTGCCTCAGTGTCTCTAGTAGCTGAGGCTACAGGCGTCTGGCCATTACACCCAGCTAATTTTTCTATTTTTTTTTTTGAGACAGTCTCACTTTGTTGCCCTCAGTAGGGTGCTGTGACATTATAGCTCACAGCAACCTCAAACTCTTGGGCTCAAGTGATGCTCTTGCCTCAGCCTCTCGAGTAGCTGGAACTACAGGCTCTGGCCACAATGCCTGGCTACTTTTAGAGATAGGGGTCTCTCTCTTGCTCAGACTGGTCTCGAATTTGTGAGCTCGGGCAATCCACTCACCTTGGCCTCCCAAAGTGCTAGGATTACAGCAGTCTTGCCCAGTCTGTGCATGTATTCTTTTTTTATTTTTATTTTTATTTTTTGAGACAAAGTCTCAAGCTGTTGCCCAGGGTAGAGAGCTGTGGCGTCATAGCTCACAGCAACCATCAACTCTTGGGCTCAAGTGATCCTCTTGCCTCAGTTTTTCTATTTTTAGTAGAGATGGGTCTCGCTTTTTGCTCAGGCTGTTTTGAAACTCGTGATCTCAATCCACCCGCCTCAGCCTCCCAGAGTGCTAGGATTACAGGTGTGAGCCACCTCTCCGCCTTGTGCATGTATTTTTTTCTTATTTCTTTTTTTTAGAGACAGAGTCTCACTTTGTCGCCCTCCATAGAGTGCGGTGGCATCACAGCTCACAGCAACCTTGAACTCTTGGGCTTAAGCGATTCTCTTGCCTCAGCCTCCTAAGTAGCTGGGACTACAGGCGCCCACCACAATACCCGGCTATTTTTTTTGGAGTTGTCATTGTTTGGCAAGCCCAGGCCGAGTGCGAACCTGCCAGCACTGGTATATGTGGCCGATGAGCTACAGCTGAGCTACAGGCACGGAGCCATGCATGTATTTTTGATACTACTTTTTCCCTAAGTATTTGGGTGGAGATACTGTAAATGTTGTCTCTGATGCGGGAAGAGGGGAGGGTGTAGGTAACTTTTACCAACTTTATATCTGCAATTGCGTCTTATTTCCTGAGCTTATGTGACTATGCAAGTATAAAGAATTGTAAAGTACAGGCTATCAAATTGTCCAGAATAAAATACTAGTCTGAATACTTTGAACATGTACACCGGCAATAAACCTTTGAAATCATGGGCATGTTTCTAGATATGGAATTTATTTACGGCGACATGGTACTTTGAAAAATGCAACTATGTGCGTAGAGGTAATTTGCTGTTTTAAAAGGAGTCCCCGCTCCCTGCCTTCTCTAGCCCCCCGCGGCCGGACCCGAGAACGCGCTGCCGGAACGTTTGTGCTGCAGTGCCTCGCTCCCAGCCGGTGCTCTTTCGCGAAGGACCGTCCCTGCTGAGAGCCCGTTGGTGGAGGTCCGCTTGGCGTCTGGCCTGAGGAGGCTTGCAGTAAGTAGCTGTGGCTGAAGCAGGTATCCTGGCAGAGTTGGCAGTAGAGAAGGCGCCATGGACGATCAAGGCTGCCCCAGGTGTAAGACCACCAAATACCGGAACCCGTCTTTGAAGCTGATGGTGAACGTGTGCGGACACACTCTGTGAGTCGGGCAGCAGGGTATTCTCGGGGGAGAGACGCTCAGGCCGGGAGGAGAGAGTCTGGAGATTCTGGGCCGAGGCCGGGAGGAGGGGAGGTCGTCGTTAGTCAACATTGGGAGGAAAATGTGAAAAGGAAGCGTCGTGACTTTAAACGGAGAGGAGCCGCTAGCCCCGAGAGGCTCTGGCCCTCTTGAAACTGTGGGCTCCCAGTGAGGTACCCCGCAGTTTGTCGGGTTCCCCACCACAGCCAATGAAAATACCGATTGTATTTCCAGGCGTTGTGTTGTTAACTGGAATCCAAAAATATTGCTGGTTAAAAGCAAGAGATTGGAGTGTTTCTATAAATTTCATAGGTAATGCTTTTATTGAAAAAGAGCGAAAGTGCTGTGAAAACTTAAAAATTACTATGACAGTAAACTGCTATTTATGGTATGAGTGGAATAGATTGAGGAATTAGTTCATATGGTATGAGCTATTTTGAAAACCTCGCGTGTATGCCCAATTATCCAGATGGAGTCGTGTTAGATTCTTATCACTTAAATGAGGAAAACTCAGACTCTTGGCAATTATTTTGGAAATATAATAATAGCTGGCATTTTTTTGAGTGCACATTGTGTACAAGGCCTTTTTCTAAGCGCCTTACCGTGAATTATTTCACTTCATTTCTGTAAGAGCCCCACGAATTCATTACTGGTATCATTTTTTTTTTTTAATAGGGAAGAAAACCTAGACTGCTCAGGGTTATTAAGTAGGCCTTGCTAGAATTGGAACCTAAGAAGTCTTAATAGAGTGCACTTTTTGTGGGTGGATAGAAAGAGATTAAATTTGTATATTTTGAAGAAAAAGTGTAGAAAGTGGTCAGATTTTTATAGTCAGATGTTGTTTAGTAAAGATGGTCTGTAAAGCACTTTAGGATGAAAGGTGCCTTATAATGGTGAGCACATTCCTGTAGTTTAGAGATTTAAAAAAAAAAAAA